TGCAGCGTCATCATATAACTAATGTGGCAATGATCAGGGACACTGACTGGTGACAGTATGTAAAAAAAAAAAGATTTTTTTTCAATTTTATAGTTTGTTTTTTTATTATTTAATATATATTGTTCCTTTTTTATGATTTTCTTTTACATACAGTGACCAGAGCAATACAGTGTTAGCATTGTAACACTGTACTACTCTGGGAGGTGATCAGGATTTTTTTTTTTTCTACACACTATGAATTTCTCTGTTATAAGCAATAATTTTTACTGAATCAAATTGATTCGTTCAGTGTTTACTATTGTGGTTAGCTGTGATTGGCCACAGCTAACCACATGGTACAGATGGGCTGTGATTGGCCCTGTCTGTATCATGTGATCATTGTGACCAATTACCGAAATCAGCACAGTTGTACACAATGGATGGCATGAATGAACACCATCCATTGTGTATAATTGTCATGTGATCTGCTGTGATTGGTCACAGCGATCAAATGGTATTGGCACAAGCCAATATACTAATCAAGTGTCTAGTGAACATGGTGTGACAGATCACACCACAGCACAGCCAATAGGTCACACGTAAGGTGCATTCTAGGCAGGACGTCATATGACTTCCACCCAGAACAGTGCGTGTCCCACCCGGCCATCACTTGTCTATAAGTCAACCAGGAACCAGTTAAAGAGGATCTTAATAATTGATGAGAGAGGCAGAGTTCCTCATTGAATGTCACAGTGGTCACATGATGCACAGCCCCTCCCGATGGCTACTGATCACTAACAGTGACCAGGAGCTGTTGGTGACAGTTCAGTCAAAATGCTAGGAGTGTGCAGTGAGTGCATCCTCAACACACAACAGTGGTGCACTCATCCTCCTGCTGTACATATGCATTACGTGGTTGTGGCAAGAGGTTAATTTAAAACTTTCTAAAGCTGATAATGCTAATGTACCATGTAACATACCCTGGGAACCTGAAAATTGTTTCAGGGGCTCCTTGACGTTAAAAAAGGTTGAGAAAGGCTAGTCTAGGTGTCCATATAATGTGAGCATTGCAAGTAAACTTTGTAACTGTTATAGAACTGTTATTAAACCCAGGCAACAAAACATAAAAGCATACTTCTATCACATCTGGGCAAAGCTGAATATACATACTGTACAGTAGTTAGATTTTTCTTTCACAGCTGATCAAGAATCTACAGCAAGCGTTGTGTAATGTGAGGGGTTACTTAAATATTTAATTCAAATTATAGCTAGTCAGCTAGACCCTGACACTATACAGTTGCTAGTAAATTCTGACACCTGAAGCAAAAGCAATAGATACTGTCCAACAAAATCCTTGCTATAGAATCACAATGTGATGCTGGATGAGACCCGAGGAGGTTGCAACCACCACTTGTAGATGTAGCACTCTCTTACCCCCTTGCAGTATATAGGGACCCCAAAGGGGGGACAGCTTCACTGCTTTTGAGCAGAAAAAAAAAACAAAACAGGGTGCGCTCTCCTTAAAAAGATGCAAAAACATACTCACAAGCCATAAAGGTCATAAAAACAGAGACAAGAAGTCAAAGGTGCCAATCATGGACAGCATACGTCCTCGGATAAAGTGCTAATGTGTTTTGGGAGTCGAACTCCCTTCCTCAGAGCAATAGATGAAGGTGCAATGCATTGGAAGGATGCTTATATATGGAACTAAATGGCAGTAAGAGCTGTGGCCACTCACCCTCTGTGCAGCAAAGGGGTCAGGAATAAAGCGATGAAACCGCCGCAAATGATGCCCAAAAAAAAAAAAAAGGGAAAAGAATGTGGTAAGTGACTGTTAGGGGCGGAAGACAATCACTGTGTTACGGCAATCAATACATCAACACTAGACTGAGAAATAGCAACAGCAATGGTAATAACAGAGATGACCGAATTATTCAAAAATTCGATTCGTGATAACCAATTTGCGGGAGTGATAACCAATAGTTAGATAGGCTGATTGAGACCTTATAAATGTGTTATGGAACTGGGCTTATGCCAGTGGACTGATTGGTAATACTGTCAGTCAGTACCATGCAGAAAGAAAATCGTTGTGCCCTTCTTTTGGATGATGGCACAAAATGAAAAAAAAGAGATATTTTCAAGGTGAAAAGAAGAAGAAGAAGAAATGTGGTCTTTCCATGGTGAAATGCAAGTGAATTCAAAAATCGATCAAAAAATGAAAAGCCAATGTGAAGAAAATGAAAAGGAATGAAAAGAAGAAGAAGATCCAGGAAGCAAATGAAAAGGAAGAAGAAGAATGAAAAGAAGAAGAAGAAGAATGGAGAAAAGCATGGAGAATGAAAAGACCTGAATGAGTAGAAGAATGAAAAGAGAATGAAAGGTTGGAGTATCGAAAATCGTTGCTTGACCATGAGCAACCACCTCCAGGAAAGCATCTGCAAGCACTGGGTCCCAGACTCTGCCTTGTCATTGGTGAAACAAGAATGTCCTCCCTATAAAAAGACCAAAGGAAATTTAGCACAAAACCTTCCCAATGTGAAGGAACTGTCAGAGAAGAGAAATAGGTGAGCTCCAGGAGCACTGCCGGTGGAGAGTTCGATCGTTGCTTCCTAATAGGCGAAACGATTCCAAACCACCTCCAGGAAAGCAGTGCCCAATATGATGAAATAGCCTGGGTCCCAGACTCACCTGCCTTGTTTGGTGAAAGAAATGTAATGTATGCCATCCCTAGGCAGCAGACCTAGAAGGAGGAGAACTTTAGCACACATAAAAACTTAGTTCCCAGACTCAAGAACACAAGTAAGTGATCCTCCCTAGGCAGCAGGAAAGAGAGCTTTAGCACAATAGAACCTGGGAAAGAGCTTCCCAAGGTCACGCCCAAATATTTGTATATCCTCTCCCAACCTGCACCTTTATAGACTTGGATAATTTACTAAAGAAATGCTAATTATGCTAACATGCATACAGTATGTTGATTGGGAACACACCCTTCATAAAAACTATAAAAGAACTTCTAGGGTGAAGCAAATTCCTTTTTTTTTTTCCTAAAATGATAATCATGCTTATGGATTATTCAGTATAGCTTCTACAAATAGACAAAAGCTAGCATGGCCAATATAAACACTACTCTTTCAATTAGCCAGCATTTAAGAGTTTAGTAATGTTGTCCCACAGTTCTTCACATGATATTTATCATGCAGCAGCAATGACCAGCTACATCCATCCACCTGTCACCCAAGGCAAAATGTGCTCACGCAAGGTACATGATATTTTACATTGTGCATACTTCTAGGTCATTCACTATCAATAATCTGACTTTGAATGCAGTTTTACTGTACATTTTATGTGGGTTGTTAAAAGGAGAAGCTGATGAGATCAAAATAAAAACCTTTGTACAGAAACTATAATGGCTTAGGATCTGTTTTATTTCAACATACATGTATTTCTTAGGCAAAACTGATGTTTTAAGTTATGCTTTTTTAAATATGTATATAATATCACCCAAAAAGAAACAACATTAAGGTGGTTCAGTAGCGCAAAATGTCATAAGGTGAATGAAAAATATATATGACTTAAATATCAAAATATAACTTTAGATGTGAAGAAAGTCCTAAATAAAGTCCGTAATGAACCCACAAACTCTTCAAGTCCTTCAAGAAAGTTCACCACGTGTACAAAATAAAGTGTCCCCCCTTTCGGGTGTGCACTCACCAGATAAATATGCTGCCCATTGTTATGGTTGGCTAAATTGCTTGAAGATAACAAGATTAAATTTAGCCAACCATGATTGGGGGGCATAAGGGGCGATTTTAGCACTGGTGAGTGCCACCCCGAGAATGGGGGCATAGGCTTTTTAGTTTGGGCCCCATGAGTTGTCAGTGCCCCTGGGGCATATTTATCTACACACCCGAAAGGGGGACACTTTATTTTGTACACGTGGTGAACTTTCTTGAAGGACTTAAAGAGTTTGTGGGTTCAATAAGGACTTTATTTAGGACTTTCTTCACATCAAAAGTTATATTTAGATATTTAAGTTATATATATTTTTCATTCACCTTATGACATTTTGCGCTACTTAACAAATTTAATGTTGTTTCTTTCTGGGTCATATTGATTTATCAGAAGTGGCAGCAATGATTTGAGTACTAATAGCATATATATTTGGCATGTAATTTTAAGCGCAGTTTTTTTGTTTCTTTTTATGTGTATAATATCGTTTTACAAATAAATGTTTAATACATGCCAAATTTGTCCCAGAATACTATGGGGGAGATTTACTAAAATTGGAGCACTCACATTTTGGTGCAGCTGACATGGCAGCCAAATAGCTTCTGACTTCAGCTTGACAATAAAACCTGGAAGCTGATTGGTTTCTCTGCAGAGCTGCACCAGATTTTGCACTCTTCAGTTTTAGTAAATCTTGCCCTATGGGTTATCTAAAGAGACAGCAAAGCAGTAAAGCTGGCCATACATGGATCGATATTTGGTCGGTTCAGTAGGGACCAGGCGAACTCCAATCCATGTATGGCCACTGTGGTTGAACAGAAGATTTTAGCCACTCGATCAGCAGTGAAAGCTTTAGCCTGCAGAGCTGATTGGTGTACTCTGACAGCAAGGAAGACACAGTGGGGAGGACTCCCCCATCCACCTGGATGTGTGGATGGGGGAATCACATCAGTTTTTTCATTCAACTCACTGACTGATCCATGGCCAGTTTAACTGCCTGCCTTGAGGCTGGCTTTGTCTGATTGAAAGGGATGCCTGATTGTCTATGATAAGTCATTCACTTCTGAGTTTAAAATGAGCTCTGTAAATAACAGACTTTTTTTATATTTTTACAAAAAAAACGATAAGGAGAGACAAGAAACAATTAAATTTTATATACCTGCTGGCTGGATAGAAGACTGCATAATATTCGTATGCAATTATTAAATTTGACTTGGTTTGTAATCTTTACCATAATACATAAATAAAGCAAATTGATATGGTGCCGGTATCATATGATCGCGGTGACCAATCACAGCAGATCACATGAGAATTTTACACAATGGAATGTCACCATCAGCTGAATGAACTGCAAGGACTTTGGAGATCTCAGGGTGACCCATTAATCTGGAGACCTCTTCCAAGGGAAGTGCTCCTCTGGCATTCTGTGGTCTGTAATCTCACATTTTATTGCTTCTGAAAATGTTCCTTGTTGACCGATATTACCTTTCTGCTTGAAGAATTGTGTAACCTGCAACATACAGTATGTAGAGCTATTTCTGTAAACTGCCTTATTTCTGTGATCATTCAATTGTTACAATACAAAGTAACCTTTCATTTTCAATGTGTTGACCGCTCCCATTTTTCAATTGTGCTGGTTAAGCCCCGCCCACAGATCTGTGTCAGAAATTTGTGGTCACAGCCAATAATTGCACATGAACCAGAATTTACATGTCTGTGTTATCTCTGAGTCAGCATCTCAGTCCAGGAAGTTAATGCAGAACCTGGATGATGCCTTCTGGAGAAAAAAAAAAGATGAAGTAGTTGGCAAGGGGAGTTCTGTCATCTCTGTGAGAAGTGATAAATACCAATGTGATACACTTACTCGTAACTTAACAAGTATGCACGCAGCATTAGAAAAATTGCCAGATTAATTATCACATACAAAATATATCTAAATGAAATATGTCCAAATGATTTAAAGTGTTACTAAACCCAGGACCCTGCATTCGCTATATCTGGTCTCCCACAGTACACAGAACATGGAAATGCAATTATTTAAGTAAAAATTAATACATTTTCCCATCAGCAGTTAGAGAAGTCTTGTGCCTTATATCAGTGTCCAGCAGAGCACATGTTAAAACTTGTAGGAGGAGTTTTCATTTTGCTCTAGATGGATGCAGAACCCCTGACCTCTGTCGGGACAGTGCTGATTAGCCCTGTGCTGATCACATGCACTCTCCCAAGAAAGAAAAAAACCTCTCTAGCAATACACACCAAACTGAGCATGTGCAGAGTGTCTCCACACATATGTCTTATCAGGAGACAAGAGGGGGACACTGGAAGAAGGGGAGGATTGGAGAAGACAGGATCAGACAGCCTTTTTACACAATGCAGAGGATTAACCCCTTAGGTTCCACAGTGAGTATAACAAGCATGCTTTACTGAATATACAGACTCATTTTACTGTTGTGGGTTTAATAACAAGAAAAAAATCCAGGCATAAAGAAAGACTAAAACAGAGTTTTCATTTCACTGCAATGTCAGCAAAAATCAGGAGATGACAAAATGCGCTGGAGTCAATAGGAAAGATGGTTGGTGGTTTTTAACCTCTTCACGCCGGCGCCTCCCAGCCCTTTAAGAGGTTTCAGATGCTGGGAGGAGGGGCAGTGTTTTAGGGTCATGTGACCGCCATGATTCGCTGCCACAGCTGTCACATGAACGGAAAAGGTCCCGATCGGGGAGATCAGGACCTTTCCGGGAGACACTGACATATGTGCTGGGAGCATGCAGGGCGCGCGCTCTCAACACATATGTGTTTTTCAAATGGTACGCAAATATGCGGCCGCTTGACGTCAAGGCCCAGCTGCCGAGAGGCCGCATATTTGCGTACGATTGGCGTCAAGGGGTTAAGAGTCGGTTTTAATTGACACCTGCGGTTTACACACGCTCCTCTTTAACAATCCTATTGGAGCTCTTCTTGAGGCAGAAAGCAAAGAAAAGGTAAATAAAAAATGTATGAAAAGAATGATCAAATGCACACAAAAATAAAAAAACACAGAAAGAACACTAAACTGAATAAAATGAGATACCCTTAATACACCCACTAAAAAACATACCAGTAGGATTTTTTTCCCTCCATGAAAAGTTTACCTGAGCAGCCCAATAAATGAAATTCAGAGTTACCATTTTGGTAAAATTTTCCTTATGGTGAAATTAGTAATTTTGCCAACATTACTACACAGGATGAATGGAAAGCCACACGACAGGTACATTCAATGCTTTATGACTAGCTTACTGTTATTTCCTGACTTTTTGTCTAGTTGGTGCACTTATAAGAGTGACATTGCCCCAGTCCTGAGAAAGTGACCTTGAAAACAAATTCTCTTGAGAAAACAAAATCGAGACTGAATTTCACACGGTTTGGTAGATACAATACAATTGCAGTAGAAAAAAATACTTAGTGAATTATTTTGCTTCAAGGGAAATTGCTGTCTATTTGTTGCTCAGCCCAGCCTGTCCTGGAGCACCTTGTTTTCTTGCTATAATAATGGAGCACAGGTTACAGCGTAACATTCTATTTGTATTGTTTTTTTGTTCTATCCTTGAAATACAGGAATTATTTATTTTATTTTTTAATGTATCTATTATATGTTCTATAACCAGCCACACATATGATTTTTGGAGTGACACAGCTGGCTCAGTCAGCACCTATGATTATCAAGTCCTGTAGGAGTTTATTACCATAGTAATAAGAAGCAGTTTTTGGCATTTAGACTGGGGTTGTTCACTTTTTCTATTGAAAAATCTTTCATGTAAAAATTTCTTGAGAGTAGCATGGGGGCTGCAACTCAAAGTCAAATAGAAAGTCCTATGGCAGGTCAGTGGTGCAAAGTATTGAAGCAATGACACTCAAGCAATTAGCATTTGCAGATAAAATAAGTAATGGTTATCTCTTTTTTTAGTTTTTTTGATGGAGTGGAGAAGTGTTATAACCCCTGTAAGGTTTTTGTTGTTTTCTGTGCCCTACTGACCAATGTCTCCAGTACAGAAGTTAATGTTATAGCTTTCAACCAAATGGTGGCCGTTTACACACAGACACCAACACCCGATTGCATAAATGTGAATGAGATGGGTTAAAGATGGCTTCAGATCCAGTTCTCTATCTGTAGAGAACTACTCAGATGTGTTTCTCCTTTTTCAGGGTTAAATCCTTAGAGGTCTCTATGATTAAGCCCCGAAATGGGTTAAACACATCTGAGGAGGTCTCTACAAATGGAGAACAGGAGCTGAAGCCATTATTTACCCATCTTATTCACATTTACATAACAGGGAGTTGGTGTCTGTGTGCAGACAGCCACCATTTTGTTGAAGTCTACTAGAGCCCGACAAGTCGATCCTGTCTGTCTTGCACCAGTCTATTCAAATATTGATCTGACTTTTCATTGTTAAGGTTATAGCTGTCACAGGAGCAGTACAGTTACAATACATTTCACTACAGAAGGATTAGAAGTGTCATAATCCCATGGAGCCTACAATCTAAAAGGGAGGGGAAGGATGGGTTGATGGAGTTGGTCAAGGTACAGTTTTAGGTGAAGTCGGGGTAGACTTCCCTGAATAGATGAGTTTTCAGGGATCACCTAAAGGTGAACAAGGTAGGTGTTAACAAGACAGATTGGGCTAGAGAGTTCCAGAGGATGGGAGAGGTTATGGAGAGGTCCTGGTGGCGAATATGGGAGGAGGTGAAGAGGGAGATAGAGAGCAGGAAATATTTTTCTACTCTTTTCAAAACTAAAAAGATGATTGGCTTTATTGGTATTCAGTAGGTACCTTTCAAGATGCAGCCCAGTAAAGATCTTCTACAGCTGACAATAAACTCACATCATTTTTTCCTTGAAACAATAAAAACAGTATGCTGCTTACAGAATTCCCATCCACTGTGTAAGTGATTGAATCACTTCTCAGAAACCATGCCCAGAGGCTATGGTCAAATTTTAGACACTACACTGCCCTTAGGTTTACTACTATATCCTTATACTAGCCAATGGTAACAAAGGGATGGGGCTTTTGTAAACAGTTCTGTTCCAAAAATTGTAAAATATTCCAAGAGGGCTATCAATACTGTTGAAGGCCTGAGACTGTTGCTTTGCGCAAACAAGTTAAATAGCCCAACAACCTGAGATTGACCACCACTGATTAGTAAACATTCGCTATGTCTAAAACAAGCTCCTCCCTGGGTCCTTCAGACCTCCTAACCTATACTATTCTCTGTTTGTGGTGCTTCTATAATAAAGGGATGCAGGCTTTTGTAAACAGTTCTGTTCCAGAAATTGGAAAATATTCCAAGAGGGCCTATCAATACTGTTGCAGGCCTGAGACTGTTATTTGCTGGTGCAACAAGTTAAATAGTCCAACAACCTGAGTTTGACCACCACTGATTAGTACACATTCACTATGTCTAAAACAAGCTCCTCCCCTGGGTTCTTCAGACCTCTCTGTTTGTGTGCTTCTATAAGAAGCAGAATTGCCACTGGTGGTAAAAGCTTTCCTTCGAACCAAATCACCAACCTGTGAAATGTGAGTTATCTGATAGGCAAAAAGGGACAGCAAGTCAAGAAATTGTTAGCAATCATCCTTCTAATGACATTTCTTGCAATCTTGAGGTTGGTAGGCACGGGCAGGAAGCACTTGACACTGAAGATTCTAATATTGAGTGAAGTACTGTAATCCTTGTTTTGTTGGTTAACTACTTGATTTCCCAGGGTTCTCAGGAGGAGGAAGAGAAATTTGTAAGAATGTGAAGGTCACATAAATTACTTCAAGGTAAGCCCTACAACTATAACTCGAAATTTGTGCCCACTGAAAGTACACTTTACTTCCCATTTAGGTGTGAAAGTTGCCTGTAGCAAAATTACTAAGCGTTGAGCTCAATTCCTGAAACATAAGATGTATACAGGTGCTTATCTGACAGCAAAGCAGCCGTGCACCGATAGGATAGCTGTGTTACTAGACTATGGGGTTGATTTACTAAAGGCATATAGGCTGTGGACTGCAAGTGCACTCCAACTGCACTGAAAATGCAGTTGTTCTAGATCTGAGGGGAACATGCAAGGAAAATAAAAAACAGCATTTTTGCTTGCATATGATTGATGAAAGAAATTAGCAGAGATTAGCTTGGATATAAAGCACTTGCGCTTGCAGTGCACAGTATATTTACCTTTAGTAAATCAACCTCTATGTGTTATTCTGTTGTTGAGTGTTTTATTCAAGAACTGCACTGTAACCCTGGGGGGAAAGGAGACTTGATATACCAGAGACTGGGAATGGCTGACCTACCTCTCATTCTCATGCCTGTAGGCTCAATGCAGTTGAATACTTCCGAATAAATGACCGTGGCTATTTGCACACTGTCTCTTGATAGAGGAGGACATCTTGGTACAGACAGGGCTTTTCTTCCTCATTTTTTAGCTGCCCCTCTGATGATTAGTAAGTATACTTGAATCCCCCTGAAGTGACCTAACAATCAGTTGGTTAATATCAAAGAAGCACAAAAAAGGTAGTGAAAGCGCAGATCCACAGAATGAATAAAACAGCCAGATCCTTGCACTGAACATACATATACAGCAATGAGGCTACAAAACACGAGTGTCTAGGCATAGTCATGTGTCAGAAATAGTAAAAAAAGTGTAGAGTAAAAAATGACAAATCTTTGACAAGTCCTTTATTAAAAACAAAAATCTTAAAATGTCCCCCGATGTAGATCCAACGTCAAGCACAATGCCCACCTCCACCGCTGACCCAAACAAAACGCTCCATTCTCAACGTTCTTAAATATCTTGTGATGTCATCATGTGCTGTGATTGGCCAAAGCACAGGTCAGGTGCATTGTTTTGGCCAATCACAATGTACTGTCAGAGCGCAGTGCATAGTGGGGCACGGCAGGTGAACAGCCCGTCGAACGCCCTTAACATTTGTATGTTCACCAAACACACAAACAGCTGATGTTTGAGTCAAACTTACGTTCGACTCAAACATCAAACCCAACACTATTGCCTAAGTCTCAGGACCAGTTCAATCCCAATCCAACTAATCCATGAGCTTATTATGTATTGCAAGAGGAAAACAAATACAAGCAACAGAAATCACACAAGCTCCTTGAAGGCAGTGTACTAATAGAGATTGAACATAAGGATCTAGTACAAAAAGGTCACAAACGAATTAGCCAATCAATGAGCTCATACCTGTTCAGAAATAGGAAAATTTCCCATACCACTACAGAAGTTGAGCATTCTCTTTTACATTTTCTTTTGGCAAGTAATGATGGTATACACAGAAAAACAGATTAAAAATGGAACATTCTGCACATGTTAATGTCAACTCAAGACAGGGGAACACCTGTCAGTAAAAGTAAAGGGTGATAGTTTTTATCCAACACAGGCTATCCCCGCTTCAGCCCATCCT